ATAAGACATTTCCTGCTATGCCTAAAACACCTACGATCAACACAAGGTTATGCTTCAAGTATATGATTCAATATCTCTTTTAAAAATAATTTGAATATGATTTTCTCTTGAATAAATGTTCAATGGAAGGACAAAAACTTCACCAAGTAAAATGAACTATCTCCACTTCCAACTTGGGTACCTAAGAGGTCTAAGAAAACCCCTATGTTTCAGTCTTGGGGGTACAAAACCTGAAACTCACTGAATTTTCCTTATAACTCCAAAAATCAATTAGGCTTCTAATGACCGCTTGGTGCAGACTAGGAGAGGCTGGATAGTAGACACGCATATTGAGGGCAAGATGGATAATATAGTATATGATTATAGTAAAGGAATATACATTTTGCAAAAAAAAGAAAGTATAATGTACTGATTTAGGATATAAAATATATATTAACCAACCTGCTAATATTGTGGAGATAATTGCTGCTGAACTAAGACAAACTGATTTAAGTAATGTATTTGTACGGTCCATACTAGAAGTCTAGAACAACCTTTTGCATTGGCCTAAAACAAAACTCAATTAATGCATTTAAGAAGTTGAAAGATTAATTGGAAATTTAATAATATATTTTATTTGCGTTTTTATTTTGTATTTTGTTGATTAGGTAACATGTTTGTTCTTTGTTGCGTCAACCATTTTATTTTTATTCAACTTTATGGTTTCTGATTTCTGTTGCGTAAAGTCGTGATGACTGAAATAAATAGGGGAAAGCTTATATATCTATTTATCTTTTTCCAGCTACAGTTCAGGCATACTTCAGACTGGAAAAGCCAGTTACGGACCTTGTTCCACACATTCAAAGATTAGAATATGATATCAATGCGGAAATAGGTGTCCCAGGTGCAAAGGTACGATTTCAATCTTTTTCCATTATAGACCATATCATATTGCTTTCATACAAAGTGAAGCATCAAACTGAAGTCTGCTTGTTGTCAACAGGTGGCTATCTTGTCCATGCACCAATTTGATGCATCTGATCAAACTGATGTGGTGTTTGGTGCTCTTTCCGATCCAATAAATGTTCCAATAGATCCAGTGTTCTTAAGTGTGTTGAAGTCTTCTTTAGTTGAGCTATTCCTTAAGCAATCCAATCTTACATTGACCGCATCAATTTTCGGGGAGCCATCTATGTTTGAGATTCTAAAGTGTCCTGGGGGAATTACTGTGATTCCTGTGCAATCAGCTTCAATCTGGCAGAAACCCCAGATTTTATTTAATTTTACTCTCAATAATTCTATATCCGACATAGTGGAAAATTTTGTTGAGTTAAAGGAGCAGTTGAAGTTTGGATTGCATCTGAGGCCTTATGAGGTATAACACTATTCTGGCAACTTTTTGCACATTTCCCTTGAGGTGTGAATTTTTGGGCTTTTTATGTATTAGGTCCATTGGTTTAGCACTATTTCGTAAAACACAATGTTTTAAAAAACGCGCCTTAAGACGCGCCTAGGCGGCTTAGGAGGCGCATGATGAAAACACCTCTGCCCAACAAGAGTAGGCTTTAAATTGCCTAGACATGGTCGAGACGCGCCTGAGGCGTTTGACTGGGCGTTTTTTTTAAATGGAGAATTGACAATGAAGAAGATGATATTACCTTGATTTAGATGAATTATTTCTTTTTTTGTTTGTTTGTGAAGAAGATGATATTACCTTTGAGTTAAACTTGTTTGTGACTTGTGCACTTTTGAATGACAATGGATATTTGTTTCAGAAAGTAATTATATATATCTATATATATATATATTAATAATTTTAGGTAGCGTGAGGCGAAAGGCTTTCGCCTAGGCAGGCTATCCATGAAGTGTCTATATTTCACCTTTGCCTTTTAAAACATCGGTAAAACGTGGGATTAGCAGTTATTTTAGTTTTGCACATGCTGGGATCCAAGTTTCATAACATATTTGAATCTATGCTAGACTTGTTCCAGTTATGCAATAGAAAGCATAATTTATTAGCAATCAAGGAAACAACGACGCAAAATAGGTCTAAGGTATATACCATCAAGTATAGTCGAAATTTAAATGTTCATCTGGATTTTCATAGTTGCTAAGTACCCAAAAGATCAGATTGAGCTAGTATTAGTTGATGGTCTCAGATTTTACATATGTATTTTTGTTATTAACAACTGCAATTTTTTTTCCTTCTCTTTTTGCAGGATGTATTTTTGCGAATAATAAACAAAATAGGTTCAACTGAAGCACCCCCAGTTGTGGTTCTGGCATCTCTCGTGTCTGATGTGGGTATCATTGCGCCACAGAGATTGAAGCAGTTGGTTCAAACAATCAGAGGTTCTCGTGCAAAAAATCTTGGCCTTAATAACACGGTTTTTGGTAAAGTTAAAAGTATCAGTTTATCTTCTTGTCCGAAGGGTGCACCCTCTGCAACCCCTCCAACTCCTTCGCCAGCTCCATCTTCAGAGCCATCAATTTCTCCATATCCTGCTTCTCCAGTTCCGTCCCCTGGCATTCACCATCTCCCACCAGCACCAGCACTGTCACCTGACATTCATCATCTCCCACCTGCACCCTTACCAGACATTAATCCTCTCCCCCCTGCACCCTCACCTGATATTCATCACCTCCCCTTAGCACCCTCACCAGGTACTCATCTTCTTGCCCCCGCACCGTCACCTGATGTTCATCATCTCCCACCAGCACCCTCACCTGAGATTTATCATCTCTCACCAACACCTTCCAAGGCACCTGCACACCCTCGTCCATGTCCATATCATGGTTCTAGAATTCCTCCGGTCTCCTCACCAACTTCTCGTTCAAACCCTACTGCTCCTCCTACTTATGATACTAATGGTTCCCCTTACTCACCTTCTCCGAGTCCCTCATCTCATTTCTCCTCACACGTGCCAGCTGCACCTGTAGCGCCCTATGCTTCCAGTCCCGGAAACAAGGGAAGTGCACAAGATTCAATATCTCCGTCACCTTCCTCATGTAAGTTACTTAAACTCTGAATCTGGTTATTTCTGCTAGATCTCGATTGGCTTTTAGTGGAATAATTCATACGACATATATTTTATATTCAAAATCTTTGCATAGCACATAAGTAACTCATATAAGCATAAGCATTTATGACTGTTTGAACTTTCGTACAAAACACAAATTTTAAGCAGGTTTTGGATCTTATTGGATTGAATCTATTAAAGCTTAAACTCGGAGCAACCTTAACGCAGACACGAAATCAATTTTGAGTTTGTGTTGGTGGATCTATTTGTGTGATTATGAATCTCAGTCAGTAATGGATCTATTTGCTTACGGACACGGAGTTTGAAAGAGAAACGAAACTCTCTTCTGTGCTATTATAACTTAAGAATGGTATAACCATTTGACAACCGAGACAAATAAGCAAACGTTTGGTCAGATGAATCATGCATCCATGGACATGTCTATCCAATTTGTGTACATGTTTTCGTTCGCATTTTCCTTGCTTTGTTTGTCAAGCTAAAGTTATCTGATATGTAAGTTAATCACCTGACGAATGCTTTTTGCAGCTTCATCAGCAGGAGCTTTCTACAAGGAGATCTGGTTATTGAAATTTTCGGTACTCGTCATCTTTCATCTGCTTTGTTGGTTTGGTTGATTAAGGTCGTCTTAAATATGCTGAAATTGTCGGAGATCCAAAAACATGGAAGCTTCGACAGAGTATCGATAAAATATCGATATTGATAAAAAGTTTGAAAAAAAAAATGATGTAAATTATAAGAAAAATATGGAAATTTTGAATGAACTGTAGGACAAGGTAGATGGATAGTAGTTAAGTTTGTACGATTTGGGCTATATACAGTTCGCGCTAACGAACATTGTCTCTCATAAATTGCTTAATATTTAATGCAATTCAATTGTATATACTCGAAAATTTTATCTATAATTATTATGTTAATGATATGTATTTGTGTGTGATCATAAGCTTACATTCTCAGTCCTCTGAACGGTTAATGATACAATCTGCTTGCTCATAACAGTTGACTTAGTTCTGAGCAAGCGGCTTGAATGGTCAACTGTTCAGAGACGGTTGTAATACACGACCGTCTCTGAACAAGTCTCTTATTTAGTCAGTCTTTCATGGAATTGGGTATTAACCACCAAGTATGGTGTGAACAAATGAATTGAGCGTAAGTGAAGCTTTTTTCTTCATCTAAACTACATTAATAAAATTCTTTGTCAACCAAAAGAAAGTAAAAAGATAATTTTATCTTTTACTACAAAGCAAAATCATGGGCAGTAAAGTAAATTTATGCAAACTAAATTTTACAGTTTTTTATTTAAAACCTCACCCGAGGATAATTCTAACATCCTCTAATTTTAAAAAATAAAATATACAAAAGAAAACTTCTCTTTCTAATTTGCTTTTTTCTTTGCCCTTTTTCCTTTCCATTTTAAAATAAAAAATAAAAAATATTTTTCACAAACAAAGTGCGGGGCATATGCTAGTGGTGAGAAAAGTAGTATTACACTTTGCAAAGTTTGCACCAGAGACATCCTTTAGGTTTGAGGTGTATGAGACGGCCCAATATTACAAGAGCCTAACAAAAGCCCAAATAGAGAGCCCAATCTTATACAAAGTCAACCCATCAAAGGGGCTAACAATGACTGTTACAACCGCATTTGAACGGAACAAAGAGATTCTCTCGTCCAACCAAGATATAGCCTTAGTGGCATAGTCCGTGCAATAAATGCTTAGGACCTATCCAAAAGGCACAATTACGTGTCCAATAGACGCTTGCAAGATGGTTACAAGAGAATACATGACAATACATGAAGGAGCAGTACCCGCTGCCGGAGGAATTACAGTATTAGGGGTGGTTTTGGGCTCATTCAGTAGAACTGGGCATCAGAGTTTTGCTCACTCACACATTTCATTCCACCTAGCAACGGTTGAAATTTAACTAAATCTCAATTAGTTAAATCGCAATCGTTCTAAGAAAAATGTGTTACGAACCGAGGGATCAGTGAACCTTTATTCTTTATGATAAGAAAAAATAACATTACACTTGGATGATACAGTCGCTCAAAGTAAATCCAGCACAGGGGGCAAGAACAGTAGTAAATTTATGAACCTTAAGGGTAAAAAATAGTAAAACGTAAACGCCTAATCGGCCTTCTACATTCGTACACAAGTGTGCTTGATCACAAGAAGTTTAGGGATGACAATGCTTCCGCTAGAAGAAAATGTCTACGATTTCTTTTTCGTGTTGATGAGGTAGAAAATAGGAGCCTTGTCAGAAAATATTCTCCGGCCGTCAGCGGATGGAGATTCGTACTTCCATGCAGGTCCTAGAAGCCAGGATGTGGCAACTCCACCAAGCAAGCCTCCAAACTGAGATTCAGATGTCACACCCAATACAAACATGAGGATAACAGAAACGAGAAAGAATTACGTACAGAGGATCTCTCTGCTTTCTTAATATAAGGAACCCTATGCAAGCTCGTATGACTATCTAAAATAGCGGAGGGGAAGTAATCAGGAAACTCAATCCTAGTGGCGAAAAATTAAAGACTCGGCTCTGCCCAGGGACTCAAAATTGAAAGCAACTGGACTTGCAGTGTCTGTATATGTGTGAGCGTGTGCGCACATGTGTGCGTGTCAATGTGTAGAGAGAGGGCGAGTGAGAGAGAAGCACGCACGCGCGCGCGCACACACTAATTAGCTTCCTTTTAAACGTTAACCGAAAGGCACATACTGAAGCAGGTTGATTATAATTCAAACAGAGATAAGGAGGAGTGAAAAAGCGATAAGAACATTGCTGTTCAGCCTGTTGTACTTACATGTCCCCAGTTATCAATGCCCTTGAAGAAGAACCCAATAGCCTGGAAGAAAAACATACGTTTATTTCTCCATTATTAATCCAGCCAACAGAAAGGAAAGGGGATTAAGGGAAGCTGATTAAGTTATGAAGATAGACAAAAGGCTCGAGTTGTGGAAAACTTCAAGATTTTGTACCAGACAAGGAGCATACCATATTCAGGACAATCACATGTGCTATCTGCTGCAGATCTTCTTTGCCACGTCCAACCAAACCTCTATGTCTCATGACAAACACAGCAAGAGATCCAACCTAAATAAAATATCAGACCCACAGGTTTGACTAATGATAGGAGATGAGAGAACAATATCACGCCATAATAGCTTGAAAGAAGTTACACTTGATATTCCACAACACTGAGTAGGTTAACTAACATCGGTAGAATTTTAACACTCAATATTTAAACACAAACTAATCTACTTTTCCCAGGGAAGAATATTCGCTCTTGGAGGAGGAATGTTTCGTTTAAAAGAGCATCAAATTGTGAAATGTACTGAAGAGGGAAGAGGGGGATAAAATGAAAACCACGTTATTAATTTGCATTTTGCAGTAATATCAACTGTGTTTGTGTGAACGCAAGACAACGAGACTGATTCTACTGAATTCCTATATTGGCACAATTTAATTAACCCCAGCTTCTCTGGTAAGCTGTATGGTGCATCTAATCTAAGAAATCGAAAGAAGAGTGGCAAAAGAAACAGAATAAGTGTCTTACTAATCCGAAGACTGCTCCTGATGCACCAACTGCGGGTGCCTCGCTGAACCCATAACTCATTGCTGAACCTGATTTTCTCGAAACCACTGAATCAGAATACTAGTGGCTAAACAAATTTTTATTGGCTATTGTAGAGAGATCATGAGCTGTTACTTGCAATTGCAGAGGCAAAGTAGAGTGCAAGATATCTCTTAGGACCACTAATCTTCTCCATGGTAGGACCAACTGAATTCAAAGAATAACAATTAACCTGTAAACGGAGACGCACATATACATACATCAGATTTTAATGCAGACATTAAAATGCCAAGACATAACCAGTAAAATTAAAAGCATACCAAGAGGTGCCCGACATTTGCATGCAAAAAGGACGATGTAACGAGCCTCCACAATTGCCCTTGGTCGATGAGGCTATTTATCTATGTGTATATAACAAAATGTGAGAAAGAGACCACTTAATGCCTGTTTCTATATTGCAAAAGAACAAGTTCTCACATTTTGTTTTGCACTCTTACCTTGGCTCCCCATAGAAGTAACTCATCTTGTGATGCAAATTGTGCAATATAAACTCTGTCAGCACAATTTGACAAACAATAAGCTGTCTAGAGGATGGCCGGGTTCAATTCTAAAAACTTAAAACGTACAGAGAAATTGGCTAAAATGATCAGAAATCAAATCCCAATTGTTGAACCGATCGAAATAAAATAACGATGACATAGCAATCAAATATCGACAACATAGCGATCAGATATCGACCACATACTGAAAAACTAAAGATTTTAACCATTGGGATTTGAAAAATGATCATTTTGGCAAATTTCTGAAAAATAAATCAAGTACAAAACTAAATATACATTTATTTCATGATTGTTTTGGGAAGGTGATAAAATGATACTCACAAGATGTTAAGAGCAAGGAGGACATTAGTCCATTGTCTTCCATTGAAGAAGCTTTTAGTGGAAAACCTAGAAATTTGCCCTTCATTTGTGGAATCAGTGCTAGTTTCTCCTTCTCCTCCTCCACCAAAGAAACCAAAGCAAGCAGAAGCTGAAGCATTGCTACTTGGCAATGGCAGAAAGTTAAATTCTTCCTTCAATCTGTGCAGGGGACTATGATGGGCAAGTTTCTGCTAGTGTTTAACAATACACAAGAGATTGAAGAACCCATAAACTAATTAAAATTAACAAAAACCCTTATTTTGTATTACCCATTTAAATCAAATTAAGACATTTAATCTTTGATCGATGACAACAATCTGAAAAAAAAATTGAAAATTGAAAATTGAGGGAGGAGTGAATGAATAGCAATAACAGTACCTGAAAGTAGGAACGGAAAATGGAGTGGAGGCGGAAGTGGTGGTGGTGGAGGAAGATGTGGTGACTGAGGCGGAGAGAAGCGGCGGCGGTGAGGTGATGATGGATAGGGGTTGGAGTGGGACCCGCTCTGGGGAAGGAGAACCACTGCGCCTGAAGCTCACCTGATCGGATCATTCCCAACTCCTAAATTTACCTCCAAGTTCAACAATATATATAATCAACATGAGTCATCAAACTAGTTAAGTACCGGAAAGATGAATAACCGTGTCTTATCATCAGTTTATTTTTATGTTTTTTAAAAGAAAAAAATCAAACTAGTTGGTGAAGTGCTCCAAAATGTATAATTAATATTTCCTTGTAAAAAACTCCAACAAATACAAGAAATGAAAATAATTAGCATGTATATAACTAGAGCCATCTTTGAGAACGTATAAAAGGTGTCACTGTATAAAGCTCTCAATTCAGAAGGGCTCGAAATTTTATTTACATGTACACAAATATATGTGTACGTATTTTAAAATGTGCGATTTTAAAATGTGCGAGATAATACCAAAGTACTCTTCCAGCGCTAATGGTTTAGGCTTTCCACCATTCTAACATGTAATAATTCAATTTTACAGAACAAAATTAAAAACAAAATAATAATAAAGAAAATACATCATAAAAAAATGAAGAACCTCTATCTAAGTTTTGCACAAGGCCCCAAATACTCAGGGCCGGCTTGCATAAAACAATATTAGGAAGCAGAAAAGGATCATCGCTGGATCCCGTGATCATAATGTATATCGTGTGGTTAGTTTTTGTAACAACCCACATTGTCCAGAGGAGTGGATCCTGTAAACCTTATATGTATATTCCCATCTCTAAGCTCACTGGCTTCGGATTCCGTCGGAACTCCGAAGTTAAGCAAGTAGCGCACCTGCCCAATTAAGGAACAAATGTGCACATATATGTACGAGTAGCGTTACTCTTACTACATTTTTCATACTGTATTTTACCAACTTTTTAAGGTAGGGCCCACCAAATGCATACAGGTCCCTTCTTATTAAAAAAAGTCGTACTGTGGTATGAAAAAATGGTAAGAGTAATATTTTTGTACATACACACGACTAATCACACCATCTCTACTCTATCAAGTAATCTGGCTATAGAATGATCAAGAGGACCACCGGGTTCTGTCTGCAAATATGATCATCACGATCAACAAACAGTAAATAAGTTTAGTTTTTTTTTTTTAAATAAAATAAAAGATTTAAGCGTCGAAATCAGAATTTCCGTTCCAACTTGCAACCCGTAATCTAATACGTTCGAAGTAGAAAATTACCTCCGGTACGTTGTTGGTAATTATCCAAGTAATTAACGTTGCATCCAAATAACCAATGCAGAAAATGGCCAGAAAGGTAAGAGTCCAGAAAGACAAGAAGATTCCACCACCACCTCCAAATACGTGGGCGTTCTGTCCCCTCCTCCTCCTCCTCTCCATAGTAATGGTCATTAGGGCTGCAGCTGCCGGCTGCTTGAAGCTCGTAGCGGCAAACCGGGCATGTGTTGTGTATGTGAAGCCAAGGGAGTATGCAGTCGGAATGGTAGACATGCTTGCATGGCATCTTCCTCGCTTCTCCGCCAACCTCAAACCCTTCCTTGCACACGGGGCAATTTGGCTCGTTCGCTAACTGCCCTTCCGATATTTTCACCAATGGCAAAGCTCGAATGGCAGAAGTCGCTGCTGCAGAGGGACCTGGACGGTCATTCTCAACCGTCCAGGTCCCTCCAGTAACATCATTTACCGCTTCCTCAAGAGTGATCCAAGACACTAGTTCATCTTCGTTTTCCGTCTGCCAACGAGCTCTTGGATGCCTTGAATCGAGGACGAGAGAGTTTTCCACTAACCGGGCATCGGGGGACGGTTGTTCTAGGCCTGTGAGGTGATCAACAAGCCTGGGCCTCGAAACATCGAGCTCATGATTAAACTCGGTGTAGCAGTAGGGACATAGAATTGCATATGGGTTGGAAGAGGCAATTCTTATGGTACGTAGGCAGTGTTGGCACCAACTTATTCCGTTGACAATAGCACGAGGACGATGAGCCTGCAGTGACATTGTTGGAAATTCGAACGAGATTTTGTTTGCCTTGGGAAGAAGAACAAGGGGAGGATATATATATAGTTAGTGTATAAATATGGTGTATATATAGCTAGGCAAGATTTGTGAAGGGTTGAAGGGAGAGAAAAGGATGGCTTTGGCTTACCCTACAGTTGGAGATTCCTTTTACTAAAACTCCAGTTTGGATTTCTGTATGCTTTACTTTCGTTATGGCGTCTTATCAACTCAACAAAGCAAAGAATGATTTAAACTTGATGTAAAGTCGTATGTACGTAAAAAAAAAAAAATGCTACACTTATCACATAAGTAATGTTACATTTATCATATTTGTACGAGAGATTTCTAACACAGATAGAGCCTACGGACTAATAAAAAGTAGGTTCCACCTCTATTATTACTAATGTGGTATATAAAAAAATATTATATAAGTAGGGTACAGTTTGGTGTGGTTTGGCTTTGGGGTTAAATCGAACACCGAAACTTAAATTTATTTCTGTTTGGTTCGGTTCAATTTGATAGTAGCTAAGTGAAACCAAACTATTTAATTTTGGTTCGGTTTGATTTCAAACTATTTAATTTCAGTTTGGAACTAACTTATAGGCTTGTTAAAAATTGGGCTTACCTTATAAGCCTATTTCGGTTTGAGGTTCACAACTTTTTATTTTATTTTTTTAGTTTTTTTTCAATTTGTTATGGCTCCCAAACGGAAAGAGGAATAGTTTACGGTAAGTAAAACCAAAATTGATAACCACCATACTAAAATTCTAGGAAATCGCTTCTGAGTTTGTTTCAAAAAAAAAAAAAAAAAAAAAAAAAAGAAATATAAATCCCAGCATCCAATGACCACTACACTAAAATTCAAGTATCCAAATTCAAATTCATGTACGAACTCCACCAAATAACCAACTACACCCCCAACACTTAATATGCTAATTACATTAATTTTTATTTATTTATATTATGCGATTCAATTCGATTTCAATTTGGTTCGAAATATTAGGAACCAAAACCAAACCGTTATTTTAGCTTTTGGTTCGGTTTCAAACCAAAACCGTTTCAAAACCAAAAAAAACCAATTTGTTTGTTGCAGTCCTGTTTGATCCGTGTTTCGTTCCGGTTTTTGGTCACAAGTTCCCACCCCTAGATAAAAGTAACATTTTTGTTAAATAATGGGTAAATTGCTTGCTCAACTACTATCCAATGTTACGGGTTTCATTTCACAAAACTAGGGTTTTCATTATCTATTTTATCAGTAACAGTCAGCAGGTACAAGAGCAAATGTTTGTTGCATATGTACAAGCAACAATTGTTTATAGAAGAACAAATCCTTGATTGGTAGGAACACAGTTTACAACTTGGGCAAAAACATACCAACTGACAACGCTGGCCATGCGAACGTATACAAAATCTTGACCGTATATGTTCATCCTCTCCGTATAAAATTCTGATTCCTAACAGATTCTTTTTCACACCGCTCCAAGCTTGTTTTCATCTTCATATCAAATCCACAAGAAATTGTACTTAAGTTCCGAAGCTTGGTTGCAAAGCATGGAATACGAAATTCCAGTTTGCCTCTTTCTCACCTTTGATGTAACTCTCTTGACTGCATTCACTGAGGAGTTATTCCTGGAACAAAAGGAACAGCTGGCCTTTTCTTCTTTGTTTTCTCCACCAATACTGCTTGAGTTGTAAGAACCACTCCGGCAATGGAGACCGCAATTTGAAGGGCACATCTTGAAACCCTACAAGGATCTATAACTCCCGCATCCGGGAGATCTTCATAGTTCCCTGTCATTGCATTGTACCCAACTCTCCAATCAGAACTTTTAGTCTTCTCCACAACAACTTCTCCGTCATCCCCTGCATTAGTTGCAATTGCTTTTGCAGGAGCAAGTAAAGCCTGCATTTGACATTGACAGATTTTCTTGCATGAAAATGGTGTAGGCCTTCAACAAGGCATAACTGAAATATTAACGTTTTATAAAAGGAAAACGCATTTAGGCATAAAAAATTTAGTTTAATTGTAGAAGCTAAAGACTTTCAAATCCAATGAAGGAGGCCAATCATATGATGATTTTTCTGAGAAGTAGCTTCGGGTTTTTTTGTGTGTGCTAGCTAGAAAAGTCCAATTCTGTGTTGGTAAGAACATCGTGAGCTTATTGACTCAACGGATGTAGCCTGTTGTTTAACATAAGGTATAACCATAGAACCATGTGTTAGGATTCCTTGCGAGGAAAACTGACCATTGGATGATTGGTGCAACAACAAAGAGTGAAAAGACTCAGCAAAACTATTGACATTTTCTCCTCTTTCTTGCCCTATATACAGATAGATGCCTGTACCGGCAATGTGGGCGTGCATATGTGCATGCGGATTGATAATGTGCCTGTTTGTACGAGTGAGTAAAGGAAAGAAAAAGAGACCCTCACCTTTGCTACAAGGTCAGCACCAATCTGCTCATCTAAATCTTCCATAGAATTTTTTATGGAAGGAATAAATTCTGAGAGATGTACATATGTGGCACCACCACCAGGCACCACTCCTTCCTCCATAGCAGCAAATGTAGCATTCTTTGCATCCTCGATTCTGAGTTTGCGATCTTCAAGTTCGACCTCAGTATGTGCTCCTACCTAAGGCATATGAAAATCAGTTAATAATAAAATCATGATAAAAAAATAATTTAGAAAATAGGCGTAGCTCGCTGGAAAAGGGTGTGTATGGTAGTCTGTTTTTTTATGAGAACAAGAAGAGCAATTGACTGCAACAGAACAGTAGATTCATTTATAATTACTACTTTGCAGCACTAATGCACAAACATAAGCTTTTTCTAATTCGTAGCACAAATGCACAATCAGCATAAAGGTACATTTAAAATCGAAAAAGACAACATTTTCTACACATCATATCGGATATTGTTGCTCTTTCATATCGCAGACCTTAATTACAGCAACTCCACCGCAAAGTTTGGCAATTCTTTCGGAGAGCTTTCTTGACAGGTTTGCATTTTCTGTTTCTGCCAGATCCTTCTTGATCTGCAATATTCTTGCCTGAATCTCAGCTTTAGTAGAAGGGTCTGCAACTATCGTTGTTGAATTACTTGTTATTTTCACTTTTCTTGCAATTCCAAGTTGATCTGATGTTGCACTCTCAAGGGTCAAACCAAAATCTCCAGAGAGAAAATCAGCACCTGAAAGTTGCAAATTGATTATGTTTTTACTGACACAGAACAAATAACCTAATAACATCATGCCGAAATGTTAGTAGTCTGATGTAGAGAACCTATAGTTCTCACCAAGTTTGAAAAACGATGTTGTTTTGTAGACCAATACATTTGATAATTTAGATTTACATAATCATAGTAAAATAATTACTAGCTGAATATATCTCAGAAGCATGTGAAAAAGATAATGGTCGGCATGTGATGAATATGTTCACCTGTCATAAGTGCAATATCTTGCAAAATAGCTTTTTTCCCCTCTGCAAATCCAGGACATTTAACAACAGCGACTTTAAGTAAACCCTGCTTTTTGTTCACCACTAGTGTTTCCAATACTTGCTTTGAGATATCCTCTGCAATGATTAGCAGCGGGATACTCAGTTGGGTTGTCTTTTCCAACAAAGGAACAATTTCTCTAACAGTTGAAATCTTGTGATCAGTTACTAGGACCTTAGCTTTGTCAAACTCCACAAGAGATTTTTCCTGGTTCGTAATGAAGTGGGAGGACATGTATCCCTTGTCAAACTGTATGGAACAAAAAATATTAATTTGTATATCAAGTAAACAAGAATTCTAACAGAAACTAAAGAATAAAACAATCAACCAGAGCCCAACTCTAGTTTTGAGATTTGCTTTTGTGATTAGGATTTCAAAATACGTAAGCATAAATATGTGGCAAACGATTATTCATTTCTATGATAATTTCTGTAATCTGAATAACTCAACTTTTAAATCCAGAAGTTAATATACTTTGTCATAATTTTTACTGGGCAAAAATCATTTCATTACCTTCAGCCCTTCTTCAACTAAAACAGATGTTTCAAATGATGACGATGACTCAATTGAGATCACTCCATCAGGGCCAATCTTTTCTATAGCTTCAGCAATCAAATTACCGATGAACTCGTCATTTCCAGCAGAAATTGAAGCTACAGCTGCAAAAGGGGGAAAAGACTTAATATTATATCTATAAGAGATAAGAGAACGAAAAAAAATACTCGAAAAGCGATTTTATGTAATTTGAATGACAAGAAATGATCACCTTTAATGTCATTCCTTCCTTTTACGGGAAGACTCTTCTCCTTTAAGATCTTGACCAATTTGTTTACAGTTCTATCCATTCCTTTCTTCAGAGAAATTGGGTTAGCTCCGAAAGCTACTGCTAAAAGTCCACCTTTGATCATTTCTCTTGTCAAAATGACTGCAGTGGTGGTACCATCACCTGCCAAATTATTCATTTTCTTTGCAACCTGCATGTAGGAAAGTAAAGATCTAATCTTTCTAATTTTATGCTTGGAAATGCATCAAGATAAGATTCGGCAAGAGAATTATCTAGCAACCAAGAACAACCTCTTGGATTAGCATCGCTCCCACGTTCTCAATTGTATCTGATAGCTCTATGGACTGAACAATTGTTACACCATCATTAATCACTTTCAGTTTTTCCGACTCAGAAAGAATAACATTACGTCCTGCAGTTTCACTTAAGATCAATCAACAAAGCTCACGTAAACACATCACCACCTAATTATTTGTAAATGTGTAAAAAGAACAAATTAGTTGCATTAGTTTCAAATTGGGGGCATCTTTTAGTTTCATATCACACATAACCGGCAACAAGATTCATGTACGCCTCATTGTTCCAAATGTAAACCACTCCAAGTCCTTGGAACAGTATGTGTCATAATAACTGATATCCCAGATAGCCTCAAGGGGTTGAACAACTAAGATGCAACTATCGTTCATGAACCCTCCTATTGATTCTTCTTATAATTCGACAAAATGGAAACAGTATCTCCCTAGAACTCCACGATCACCG